AGTGACACAATTTGATTATAAGGAAGCTAGATGATGTGAATTTTTCGGATTTGAGGTTTCAATAAAATCTAATTGGAGCAGGGGCAGGAGGTGGGAGAGCAGAGAGCACAGGGGCCTCAGAGGACCCCCGTCTTCTAAACCACGGTTATCACATTTTGCACCAGGAAAGTCAAGAACACAGGAAAGCTGCTTAAAAACCCTGGCAAAGTCTTTGAATGGTCCCGTCCAAACAGTAAGGATTGGAATTAGCTTTTAGAAACGAAGATAAAAACAGGTGATCTCAGGGTGCTGAATCTGGTCTCGCGTCCAATTCCGTCTTTGCAGAGATATCCCCCTCCCCTGAGGCCTGTGCCAGTTTCTGATTCTCCCACCTGTAGCTCCCCAGAATTCTTCTTACCTGCAGGAAGATGCTTCCCACTTTCTCCAGCTCGCTGCTCCCTGCCGTAACTGTCGGAGAGAAAAATGGGGGGCAAACAATTTACACAAAGGGGTTGGCAAATGCACCCCTCAGCGTGCCCTCCCAGAAAAGAGCTCACCTCCAAATTTCCACTCCATGTCTATTAGCTGGTTAACCATCAACGTCTGCCCCACGGCCAGTTGCGAGAGGGCTGGAGAATTTTCCTTCCACTAAAATGAGAGCAAAAAGTCAGAGTTTTAACAATGTCGTTTTTAACGCAGCCTCTCTCCAAATTGTTGGGGTTCAAAGACTGGAAGGCAGCCGCTGCTCTTCCATTCTCCTTGTGGACCTCGTGAGACTAGACAGCTGGACCAGGCGGGTCTTAAGCCTGATCTAGCACAGCTCAGCTTCTATTATTTACCTCTGCAAAAACAGAATTCGCAGAAGATCCCCTGTTCCCACCGTGGGAGTTCCATCTGCTCCACCGATCCCTCTGCTCTGCTTGCAAACCTAGCACGCCCCCTTGTCGCTACAACTTCTACTGTCCCCACACTTAATGGCACCAGACGATGCCAAGCACGCCCCACCATTGGAGCAAGCTTTTTCTCCCCTAAAACAAAATCATTCACTCATCAAATACTCAGATCGTATCAAAGCAAAGAAAACACACACCAGGGGAATGGCATTCAGTGCAAGACAGCCGGTAAATTTCCCTGCAGCTTAGTAGCTGGAGTGTAATTCTGCATTGTTTAGTTATTTGAATTAATTAATTAATTAACAATGATTGCATAATTACAATCACATGCCCAGTTTCCACTGGAACCTGCTGGCTGGGTTCACGCTAACGCCACGGTTTACTTAGCTCGAGTTTGAAGAGTTAAGTCAGCTGGTTTGATTTGACCCCCCCCAGATTAACTTGCAAAATAATGGACATTCACACAACTAGTATTTCACATGGCTAGCATGGGGATGGCTAGCCCCATGGAGGCCTTCTGTCTTCAGCCTCAGATTTTTCATTTTCTTGGACTCTCCTTCCCCTTTTTTAGAAATGTTTTTAAACTGATGTTTTATGTATTTATATCTATTTATGTTTTTAATGTTCAGTGTGAGTCGCCCAGAGTTCCCCCATTATGGGGAGATGGGAGGGTGAGAAATTTAATAAAATAAATTTAGTAATAAATAATGTGCCCAGCAGCCATGGATTGCATTGACTTGGGTGTTCCTTTACCTTAGAGCGGTGTTTCTCA